CAGAATATGTGGGCAATCTCTCGGTTTCAGATAGAATACAAAAAAATAACCTGACAATTTCCCATAGAAAAAAATTCCTACGGCCCCCCCTACGAAGTTACGCGCCCCTAAAGGACGCCTCTGAAAATCGGGTTTTTGTTGATAACTTTCAAAATACTTCGTGAATTTTTTTTCTTTAAATATGATGGATACTAGATAAGACCCCTTAAAATACACTTGGCCAATCTAGTTTGCCAGGGACGGACTAGCTTTAACACAATAATGCAAAAAAATTTACACCCTGTATGATATAGACATAGCAATAATATTTTGAGATAGTTTCAACCTTGAACTAGAAAAAAGGTACTCTTATTCGATGTCGAAAAAATGAGCTGGTTTCGAGAAAAATCTGTTTTTGTGTATTAATGGTTTTTTATTAAATAATTTTTTATGTCGACTCAACATGAGATCCTTCTAATCTTATGCATTCCATACCTATTTTAATGAAAGATTGTTCGACTCTCGACAATGCTTCAATATTAGCCCTTATTTCGTGACAGTGAAAATTAATTATTTCTACTAATATTTCCTCAGTGTCATTATTGCGTTAAAGCTAGTCCGTCCCTGGCAAACTAGATTGGTCAACTGTGTTTGAGAGGGTCCATTTTAAAGGGTTTTATATCCATCATATTAAAAGAAAAAAAATTACACGAAGTATTTTGAAAGTTATCAAGAAAAAACCGATTTTCAGAGGCGTCTTTTAGGGGCACGTAACTTCGTAGGGGGGGCCGTAGAATTTTTTTTTTTATAGGAAGTTGTCATGTTATTTTTTTGTGCTTTATCTGAATCCGAGAGATTGCCCACATATTCTGGGACACCCTGTATATTATAGGGTATGGTATACACTGCTCTAAAACAAGACACAACTTCAGCTCCAGACTGCCAAACGAACTACACCATTTCCACTTTTAGTTCAAAATAGATAAAGTTGATTTCAAAAAGCATCAAATGTATTTCAATTCAAAATAACAACTTTAATTTAAAAAAATATCAAATGTATTTCAAAATAACCAAATTTATTTCGAAATACATCAAATGTATTTCAAATTAGTGAAATGTATTCCAAAAATGGTCAGTTTTATTTCAAAGATTATCAATTCGATTAAAAAATAAAGTATGTGTTTCTATCGTACAGTTAAAAAAATCAAATTATAACTAAGACACCCTGTACCTCCCTTACAGTTTTTGATGATATAAAAAATGATGATTTTGAAATACATCTGATTTTTTTGGAAGTATAAATGGTATAGTTTGAAATACATTTGATTAATTTGAAATACAAATGACATATTTGGAAATAAAAGTGACAAATTGGAAATTAAAATATGAATTTTTGAAATAAAAGTGATTATTTTGAAATACATTTGACCGATTTTGAAAATGGTGTAGACATATGCTCGGCAAAAATAGCAGCTATCAATGAAGCAGTGGCATACTCCTTGAAGAAAAACATAAAAAAGGTCATAATAATGTCAGATTCTAGTAGCGCCATCTCAAAACTAGGACAAAACTTTTTAAACCCAGATATGGACAGTTATACCCTGAAAATTAAGACATTAACACATTGACGGGCGCTAGGCGAAAAAGGGGACCATAGTTTCAAATTTTTTTCCCATGGAATGGACGTGCATTGACACTTCTCGGTATTTTTTTTCATTTACTGGGGGACACACAGAATCCCGTAAAATTTATAATAGCATAGGCGTCTGCTTTCGTAGACGCGCCATTTTAAGGGCTACAAATTTTGTCTGCGATTACAGACGCGTCCCTAGACACCTGTCTACAAATGCAGATACACGCCAGTCAATGGGTTAAGAATAACAGCAAATGAAATGGGCTATGACATCACTATCCTGGATCCCGGGGCATGCAAACATAACTGGCAACGAAATGGCAGACAAACTGGCATACATAGGCAGAAACTTAACGATACCAAAAAATATACCTTTAAACAAAAACCACATTATGGTTGCGATAAGGGAAAAGATAAGGAAGGAACATGACTTGGCATGGAAGGAATCTCTGAAGCAGAAGGACAAATACAAAACAGCTTCCCAAAGGTAGCATGGTATAAGCCATTCCCATTTGTCGACCGAAGACACAATAGAATCATAACTCGGATGAGAACCGGACACTGTTTAACAGGAAAATATCTTCACCTGATGGGAGTTAGAGAAACAACAACCTGTGAGTGATCAATCAAATTCCCAATCTTGATCTTTATAATAGCCTCATAAAGGAAAACATAAAAGCCCCACTCTCTATAGTCACAGTATTAAGTAAACTGAATCCAAACATAATAAAACTAATAATTCAATTCCTCAGTCATAATTGCATAAAACTATCATCACACGCCATGTCGTTCACCGTTCACCACACAAGGAAGCAGCAGACAAACTTTCAAACACTACATCGCCACAATAATCACAAATCATACACAAAAGTCGGCCGATAATAATTTTGATTTTTCTCTCATATCAGAAATCCCCATTGTGTTGTCATCCTGTGTTGTTATTTGTCTTATTAACCTACCCACCACTGAAGAAAGAAGAAGTAGTACAGAACTAAGTTCACAGTGGAATTATATACATTACAGTTATATATCTTGTCTTAAAAAAACATAAAGTTTAAATTAATGTGCCCGGAGTATGGCCTAGAGCTAGACGATCTCTGGTCACACACAAATGTGCTAGCAAATTGCCATTCAGGGAGCAGAAGCCAAAATTAAAGAAGAAGAAGAAGTCACAAAACTTGTGGAAACAGGGTAAATATATTACTGGCTCTCATCTTATCTTGTTTCTTCTCATCAAACTTCTCAAAATTTTTCAGATCTAAGTAAACATTGCTTTCATGCAGCTTTTGAGCCCCCAATATTTCTTTTTATTGTAGTTTATGAAATATTCCATTTTCTAGATACAACCCAAACAAAACAAAAAAAATAAATAATACAAAATACAATTATTTTTTTTTCAAAAATTGTTCTTTAATTTCAACTTTATTTTTTTTTCTCTAAACGTCTATGGAAAAACGACAAGGTGCCCTATAACAAAAAAACTATAAGTAATTAAAATGTCTGTTTGGAATTCGGCCACACACACCCCATTGTGAGGGGCAAGGGCCGAAATTCCCAACGTCAACAAAATTAAAATTACAAAATAATGCTGTTAGGAATTAATCGAAATAGTTTTCGTAAAACTTTTGCAAAAACCAAATAATATTGTCACTAAAAAGCACTTAAAACTTTTGGCAGTGAGAAAGACCTGACACCCTCCCCACACCCCTATTATTTTTAATTGCATAATAATTATGCCGACACATAATATATATTATTTGAAAATGTTTTCGTGTGTCGATTGTACTGACATTTTATAATTCTATTAAATTAGATTGTCAATAAAATCAACACAGACTTCTCGGCAAATTCCACTTATTCTACATAGAAAAAATGAAATTCTGCCATTTTATTGGCAATAATTTACATAATCATAACAAAAAATATGTAAGTCACAAAAAAAAAAAAAAACATAATAGATATAATAAAAATATAATAAAGCTTACCGCTTCAACTTTTTTTTTTACAAAGATAATAGAAAAATCACAGAGCTGACGGCGTCGTAGGTTACTCCCCATAATCTCAAATGACAGCAGTAACGTTCGGCGCCTTTCATGTACATTTATAAATCACAAACAAAAAAAAACAGATTGTGGTGCCCTCTATAGTTGAGACAGACGTTCGTTTTCGGGCGAAATCAATAAATAAAATAATAAAAAATGTCTACAAATAATATTTTCAGGTTGCAATATATTTGGAAATTTTCCTTATACTTAATAATATAATCTCTTCATGATAGCGTGCAAATTAAAATCTGAACCCAACCTGTTAGCACCCTTAAAAATGGCATTTTTTATTACTCACTGAACATTACCAAGATATTGGCACACTTTTAAACAAATCAAATTGTTTGTTGAAGCCATAGCTGCTCAGAAGTTGACATGGTGAAGATGCTTGACTGCAGACTAGAATAATTAACTATGATCACTGGGTCTGATAAGGACTATCATTGTAAAATGTAGCCAAACATCTAAAAATCATTGTGAGCAGCCAAGAACTTTATGTATTGTGACGGTAATTAACAAACTATTAGTTGTAACTATTGGATGAGACTTTTTATTATTGGTCTAACCAAATACTAATAAATCAAAATTATTGATTTGGCCCGAAACGAAACAAACCGCAGTCAAAAATGATAATTAAAAACATGAAATGTACCATAATTAACAACTTAAAAACGACAAAAAAAAAAAATAAATAAACTTTTTTTAAAAGTATTTCTTCAATAACATATAATAGAGAATCTAACATATATTTATAGTGTTTCACTTTGTAACACTGCACAAAAACCAATCAATCTGGTTACTGTTCTCGAAATCGTTCCATCGCCTTTTTATTGCCGCTGACTATCAAACCAACTGCAATATTATTGTTTATCAAATGAGGAGGTAAACAAAATAACCAACCAATATAGAAAACATCCTATTATCGAATCCATTTTATGGATTATTCCAGATCATTATGTAACCCTACATACCTAAATAAATATAAAACAAAGACTCTATTTTATAAAGTCTTGGTTTGAATCTTTACAATAATTTATCACATACCAGTTATATCACATCTTCTGTTTCCAATTTTATCACTCACGAGCTAATGACTTTTTTCTGTTTTGAGAAAAATAAAAAGTCACTAATTCCATTCTACATTTTTCTATATGAACGCTTTTGACTTTGTTAACCTCCTCCCTGCTTTGGAATTTCGATTATTCCCTATCCTACACAATACAAAAATTTGTATATTATTTGAGATCAGTGGGCGATAAAAGGACGATAGTGTCTATCCAATTTTTTTAAATTTGTTATTATTATTAAATCTAATATTTTTTGTCTAAAATGGGCGCGCTAGCCTACTTTAAACTCGTTCCTCCATCTTGTTGGGTATTATTGCCAACCTAGAAGGGAAAAATATATATTTGACCAAATATTGAATTATAAACAAGGAAGTTTGCAACAATGTTTCCACCTTAACTGAATGTATATGAGAAAATTCAGACAAGGATTTTTTTTTCAGAAGAAATCAAATTAGTTGTACGCTTGCTATACATATTTGTGCCAGATGTATATAATATAATAATTTTGTCTCAGTAAAACATAACGATTAAGAGCTGTAATGTATCTATACATATAATATGCAATATTTCTTTTTAAGAAGCAAAAAAGTCATACCTCTTTCAACCATCACTGTGAGCAAAACGGAAATATTGCAATTAGAAAATATTTAATTAAATGTTTAAGTTCTTAAGCATTATTACAATAAGTTGAAACAATATTCCCAAGACATAATATGTACCATAGTTTTTATAATTATCAAACAACCTATTAGAATTCAGTTATAACAATCTTGTTCGTAACTTACCAATGGATGAGGTTGGTCCTGCCCGCCCAGGCCGGAGCCCTGGGACCCACCAGCGCCGCTAGCAGCCGGTTGTTTAATTTTTTCGCAATAGTCGCTTAGAATGTCTCGGAACCGCGCCCAACTCTTCTCTGGAAGTGTGATGGCGGTGCGGAAATTGGTTTTCACCTCGGAGATTCGCATGTATACTCCACGGTTATTTTGACCTACACATAATTTGGTCAAAATCTAGTAGGAGCAAACGATACTTGTTGTACACAAACACAAAAGTTCAACTTACCAATATCGAAATAGAAGTTTTTATTATCGACGTGCATATGTCGTCCTTCGGGCAGGTCCGGTTTGTAGGCGTGTTCGTCAGTACTGAACTCGTCCAGAAGGTCGGTTAGGGCGTCGCGAAACTCGATCATTCCCTGCGCAGGTATCGCTACCTAAAGCCAAACTATAATTTTAGAATCACTAAAACACGCCCAAACTTGTTGACAGTAGCTTGATAACTTGAACAACAATTTCATGTTGTCACTAACGGAATTAAAAAAGTATCTCTCCTTCCTATCAGAAGTCACTATCCGATGTTTTGGCTCAAAAGAATCAGGCATAAATTAGATCTGTCCAAGAAAATCTAACTAAGCAAACTAAACCAAAAGCTAATAGAATTCCATGTTCAATTTGAATGTTTTGTTTATTTCAGATAAAAAATCGAACATAAATCCCTGAAGCCTAAAACTACTCACATCAGGCGTATCTGTACTTTTAAATATACATCACATCACCCCTTTTGTAATACCTAAAATTAAATATTTTTGAGTAGTTTTCACCTGCACAAGATTATTTGTTTAAATATTCAATTTTAGGTATCACCAAGGGGTAACCAACTAGTGGAAATCATTGTACATTTTTTTGGGAATCAAATAGTAATCAATATGGGATATATTATCTCATTCTAACCCAGAAATCGCATTTCATACATTTTAAACGATACAGCACAGCGTACTGGTCAGTTGTATATTTACTTTTAAGACTAAGTTTCAGGCAACATGTGGAAAATTTGAAATGAATTTTATATCCCAACAAGTTTCAACAATAACTGAGCCAATAACTGAACCCGAGACTATGAAGAGTTAAGAACTTGAAGAACAAGATGGAAATTAGGTCTGTTCTCACAGAAATCACAAACCATCCTCTACATCTTCCATTTACAAAGAATGTCTAAAACAAACTACCAAACAACCCTAACATCCTAATCTACTTTGTACCTCCTTCTTAAATAAAATTATTTTACTTTGAAAAATATCTCAGTTCGTTTCTTTGATTATATCACACATTCTTACTATAGGTGAGGTAAACTGCCTATTTGTTCTTGGTGTATCATAAGTCAATATCTGTGACTGTCTAGTTCTCAAATCTGGTACTCTTATATTTATCAGGCTCAACAGATAATCATCTTTCACATGACAATGAAGAAGTTTATACAGAAACATTACGTTAAAATATTTTCTTCTTACATCTAACCTACTGTAACCATGTTGGGTACACAACACATCATATGGTACATCAACTGGGTAAGCCCCGAATCTCTTAGTGTAATCTTTTCAAAAATTTCTTTTGACAATTTTCTATTGCATGGATCGATCTTTGATAACATGGGTTCCACACAACTGATTCATATTCTAGCTTTGTCCTAGCTAGTGAATCATACAAAAGTTTGACTGTAGAAATGCTCATATCTTTTGTGTTACGATAGATAAACCAATCTTGAGTGCCTCACCCACTATTTTGTCTACATGATCATTAAAGCTGATAAAACTGTCATATAAAACACCAAGGTCTCTAATTGAGTTTTCCTCTTTCAATTTAATATTGTTTAAAAAGTAATCATATTCTACTTGATTTTGTCTATTTTTTGCTGTAAATTTCATTGTAAAACACTTTGATACATTAAGTGCTAACTTGTTATCCACAGACCATTGATACAATTTGCTCAAATCACTTTGTAGATTTTGACAATCATTGATATTTCTTATGCTTCTATATATTTTAATATCATCAGCATAAATTAAAATTTTTGAATGCTCAACCATTTGCACTACGTTGTTTATAAATATAATAAATAACATTGGGCCCAAATTTGACCCTTGTAGAGTTGTAGGACTTTGACTTATAATTGTTATGAACAACGATTTGTTGAAATGTATGCAGAAAAGACCTATCAGTCTAATTAGGACATATGGCAAATTCGCCTGTATTAATTTATCAATAAGTTTTTTTCTATTGACTCTATCAAAGGCCTTTTCAAAATCCAGATAAGCCATATGGACATCTCTGAACACCTCAAGGGAATCTGACATATATTGGGTTAAAGGTTATCAGGTTTGTGGACGTTGATTTGCCTTGCATAAATGTATGTTGCTCTGATGCGAGGTCATTTGAGCATTCTGAAAGAATACGAATGTACAACACTGATTCAAACACTTTTGAAAAGTTGGGCAATATATTTATTTTGCTTTGTTTTGATTGGGGTAGGATCGGAAAAAATATATTTATTGCTCTATAATTCTCTATATCACACTTATTGCCCTTTTTAAAGATTGGACAGACCTTGCTTAACTTCCAAATTTCAGGTTATTTTCCTTGTTTCATGCATAAGTTAAATATTGTAGTGAGTATTGGTGCGAAAATAAACTTGCAGTTGTTCACTACAAAAGCTGGAACGTGACCTAGTCCCATAGTTTGTTTTGGTTTTAAATTATTTAAAGCATTCATGACTTCTTGTTCACTTAATCTGGAGTCTAACAAGTGAGTCATACAGTGTTTCAATGCTCTCATCGCTGTCAGCTGGTGCATATACACTTTTGAAAAAAATAGGAAATGTCTCAACAATATTTGGGTTATTGACAGGGCAGCCGTTGTAGACCATGTTGCCTGGTATACGTGAGCAGTTTCTTTTGCTGTTGATAAATTTGGAAAAGCTTGAATTGTTCTCTATTATACTTCCCTCCAACTCTGCGAAAATGAAGCACCTAAATCTGTCACTATCTGACGGTCTATATGGTCAGTCTGACAATTTATAATACCCGCTTTCAAAAATAGCTGCCTATTTCTATTTTTGGCTTTAATTTCACAGATTATCTCCCTGTTGAACCATAGCGGATATTTATTAACCCTAAAAATTGTCTTAGGAACAGTCATATCAAATATTTCATAAATCCTACCATATAAAAAAGATATAGCCTCATCTGCTTTACAACACTGATAAAGAATATTCCAATCCACTTCCAGCAAAAGTTGATACATCATTGGGAGATTTGCTTTATTGAAATTATATTGTGCATTAACTCCAAGTTTGATTTTGTTTTGTATTCTCTGCATGTCTGCTATGACAAGCAGTGGATTATGATGTTCATCAACCTTTACAAGAAGTTCCTCTGACTTCCATACTTTACAACTTACATTCGAGACTTATACATCTAGTATTTTACCATTTCCATTTTTTATGTTATTAAATTGCTGAAAATCTGTGAAATCTAAAAAGTGATTAAACATTTTTGTTGTTGGGTGTTTACAATCATCCAGATGCAGTACATTCAAGTCACCAATTATTATACAGTTCCTATTGAAATCGTTTGATATAATTTTATCTTCAAAAATATCGTCATACACTGCTGTAGTCTTCCCAGGCGGTATGTAAAATACACAGATTGTAAACATTACTCCATGCACAACAATGTCACACAGTAAAATTTCTAGATCTGGAACATTGCATTATCTCCTTAAATTCTATATGTTGGCAATCTCTGATAAGTATCATTAAACCACTTCCTCGTTTTTTTCCCGTTTTCTGTTTGGCTCTGTCAACCCGGATTATATTGTAAAACCTCCCCACTATTTCTGGTTGCAATATTAGTGTTCATTTCATTCAGCTTGTTTACACTTCTAATATTTTGATAATATATTTCAAACGTACCTTTGGTTTGTTCTGGGGTCTCAGAACTCATAAAAAATCCCCACCCACATTACCTTTGTGTATGTTCCTCAAATTTTTCAAAAAATCTCTATGTAATGTAAAGTTGAATCGTCCAACCCCTACATATTTTGTTCAGAATGAGCTGTCATACATTTCATCTTTTTTTTCTAATGGCGCCACTACCAAAAAATTTTAGGACTTTTTCTTCTTCTGTTGGAATCTCCTTCACTAATACAGAGACAGCTTCAAAACCATTGATCAGTTATTGCCAAATATGGAAATCACTGTACATTTGTAAGCATAGTTGGCTGACTCCTCGGGTATCACAAAAGGAGTGGTGCCATGTGAAATTTTGTGGTTGGGGTGCGTGGGGCCCAAGGGGTCACTAACCCCATCACCATTATGATGGTTCTAGTTCCCTCTACATAACATCTGTACCAAACTAACTGAAAGTTTTCAAATTGAAACCCTGTATAATTTAACCTTATTTCCTTCAGTAAGTACATACACCCTATATATTCAAAATACAATACATAATTATAGTTCTAGTTGATATTTTTTTACCTGTGAACGGGGCCCGCCCCTTGTGATGGTCTGCGACACGCGCAAGAATCGCCCCCGCGAGTTCTCCTTCAGATCCAAATAGTATCGACGATTGTCCTTGATCATCATTTCAGATTTCAGCTTGCCGTCTTCAGGAACGTTGTCGGGATTAGGTGGGCCTATACAAGAAACACAAAATATAATCAGTTACACTAATAGACAAAGTATTGTTAAAAACACTAAGCTTACCTAGAGAGGAATAATAGTCACTAAATGTTGAAAGGTGGTCTCTAAATTCAGCAGCGGTAGATAGGGCAAGGAATATTTGTGATCTTCTTCCATCAGCTCCGATCTAAGAATTGAATAACATAAAATTTATATAGGTTGCGACTTCAATTATAATTGGTTTAAATTCTAAAACCTACTTACTTCTGCAACTTTTATAAATCTGCCTCTGCGATTTTGTTTTACATCCAAATAAAATCTTTTGCTCTGGATCTGGAGCATTTTAGTTGCCAGCTCTTGCTCCATTTGACCTTGCTGGCCTGAAAAGGAAAATTGATTTGAAGAGATTATTAAATAACAAGGAATAAAACTTCTTATTGCAATACATGTTTGAAATGAAGATGCCAAATGCTAAATGCTCAGGTGGCTTTAAAGACAAAAATCTAATGAATTTAATTTGGAATGAATGGAATGATGGATTTCATCAATCTAAACCTATGTTTCTTGGTAATCAAACATTGATTGACCAATTTGTGATGTGATATAATTTTGAAATAGCTGTATGTTATTTCAACTTTTGGAAAATTATCCACAAAGGAATAATAACCAATGAACAAAATTGATCGTCATCTATACCTTTTTTTCAATAAAATAAACCTGCTATAAATCATTGCATTTTACTAGGTGAAAGCAATACATTTTTTTATCTGAACTAGGCAAGAACCAAAATAAACCTGTTATATTATCAGGAGGAACACATGATAGGAATATTGGGCATACATTTTTGGACAATCTTTTATTGAGTAAAAAAATAATTTGAGAATAAAAAATAGCAAATAGATAATGTGCTATTCTGCCTAGGAAAACATGTCTGTGAATACCTGAAATACACACTGTTTTATACTTCAGATTTAAAGCTGAAGAAAAAAAGCCAATTCCTGTGCAAAAGTTTGTGAAAAACTGAATAGAGGGAAAGGCAAGCTTGATGAACCTGATTTCCTCGCTGATTTCATACTATCAAATTTTTCTCAGCACCCTATTCTGGATGCCACTTCATTATACCTATATGTATAGTAATTGAATACAACCTATTTGTCTTCTATATTAAAATGTCACATAAATAAAACATAGGTAAGTAATAGGATTATTGATTATTAATTTACTATTTATTCATACATCCATTTGCCGTATTTTAGGTACATATTAAATTGATTTTGAGTAGATTCAGGGATAATTCTTTTCAGTTAACCCAACTTGAAGCAAAATAATGAATTATTACTCGAATTATTATCATACATGCACTTTTTCTTTTAACTTCCATTTCAATCATTACAAACTTATTTTGGGAGGTTTGAGGAAATCAGGGTTGAAAAAAATCCTGATTTTTGAAAATTTCTATTGGTTTTTTTGTATTTTTGTAGGAAAAAATCAAAACTAAGAAAAAAAACATGAACTTGTCGTAGTTTTCAAATTTTTTCCTGATTTCATTTGAAAAGATTTTGAAAAACTAATTTCACATTCTCATTGTCACTTTTCTACAAGATGGCCGTATTGAATTTAAAATCCAACGTTTCGTTCCTCTGGAATCATCATCAATTTCTTTATTTTTTAAATACGGACCTGCTTTTTTACTGTGTTATTGAAAAATTATAAACAGTATCGGTTTTAGGATGCCCAAATATGACAAAATCGCAAATAAAAAATCCAGGTTCGTATTGAAAAAAAGTAAGGTGAAGATGGCCTCCTGAAGACAAAACGTCGGATCTTAAATTTAGTAGCGTCATCTTCTAAAGGAGAAAAAGTGACAATGATGAAGTGATCTTTATTTTAAAATTGCTCTTCAAATAAGCCTGAGAAATAATAAAAACGATTTTTCAAAATTTCGGTTTTTTCCAAATATCTCCGGAAGTATTCGGAATCTTTCTAATTACAAAACGGCATTCTATTGGTCATGAAGTTGCGCAACTTTGCCATAATTTAACTGATACTGTATCTCTTACAGTTTCTGAGATCCCAATGATGAGGCTCGAATTTGGGCCAGAAAAATGTGAATAATCCGAGGTTTATTATCAATCTTAACTCAAGTTTTCTTTAAATTATTTTCAGATGTTGTGATTTGCTCAGGTACTTATACTACCAGATATCTGATTCAGAACAATGTCATGTGTAGGTATTTTAAATGGACAAGATTTTGAAGAAGTTTTCTAGATTCTATAAGCTCATCTGGGTCGGTATTCTGGTTCTCAAAAACGCTCACCGCTTTCTAGTCGCTCGGCACTTTAAATGCAAATTTACATTGAAAGTGCCGAGCGACTGAAAAGCGGTGAGCGTTTTCGAGAACGAGAATACCAGCCCTGATCTACATCTATTAAGCATTTTGTCAAATCTAGAGCTAAAATGCAGCTCAGATAGCAAATATACAGTTATGAGTACTTTAACTATCAGATTCTAGGATTTGCTCATATTTTTCTGAGCCGCAGATCCAGAGAGAGATTTGAAAAGAAGCTTCATTGGCTGATCTGTATTGTTTTAATTTTCAAATTGACGTGGAATGTACTCAAGAACGGAAAAAAAAAGATAAACACTAGATTTAAGTATTTGTTTTTTATATTTTTTAGAAGTACTAGTGACATTTATACATACTTATAAGCAGTTATAAGGCTTTGTCAATGAATACCCTGTATTTTGGACAATAAAGCATATTTGATTTGATTTGATTTGATTTGATAAATCTTGAAGCCAAGTTTTGAATTTCTCAGATCCAGAGCAAGAATGTTGGGGTAGTGGAGTGGTTTTTTTTTCTTCACTACTCTCATTTTTCATTCCAATTGTTGTCTATTTGAGATCAATAAATTATGAACATTCAAAACAAATTCAAGAGCCTGGAATAGGAAAATCACTTTGATAATTTAGCTTATTGTTTTTACCCTATAAAATTCTCTATTTATTTATTGCTAATAATCCTAACTTTAGTTTTTTTTTTGAATGTATGTTCAGATTCTGTGATTTGCTTATGTAGGTACTCCCAGATATCACAGATTCAAAGCAAAGTCAGATGTATTTTAGATGGATAAGAAGATTCTAGAAATCACATTTTTAAGAAAAAGTTTTAGATTCTAGGAGGCAGTGACGATTTTTGGTACTTATTTTCCCAGTCAGGCAACATGGATAGAATTGTAGGGTTAGTAATTCTAAGCAAAATTCATATATTTTTAGGGGGGGTTTCTAATGGGTTGAGGCGCAAAATGCGTTACAGATTACGAATGCACGGCCCTTTTTTTCCAGTGATAAAAATAGGTCTACTTATGAGAAGTATACTGAAGTTACATAAAAAAAATAGTCCAGCTAATCTGTGAGTATGGATAATACGTCTGGCAAGTGAAAAGTTGATGATGCGAAAAATTTCAACCAGACTCACTCTTCAGTATCTGAGATAAGCCAAATTGCCATTTTTATATACTTTATGTTCTATTGTAGTGAATGTGAAATATTGATGACTGGGAAAATAAGTGTACTTTTCATTGATCTTGTGAACCCATCCGAAAATTTTTACGAAACTCAAATATTCTTGTTTTGTATCACCAAGAGAACAGTCTATTTAATATACACTAACTGGAAAAATAAGTGCTAAAAAATTTCACTGCCTCCTGGACTAACAGGTCAGATGACAAACATAGAGTTTTTCAGTAATTCAACGTCATTGATTTCAACTCACACTCTATGATTTGCTCATATTTTTTTGAGCCTCAGATTTAGAGAAAAATTTGAGAGGAAGCTTCATTGGCTCACAACTTTTGAAACCAAGTTTTGAATTCCTCAGATCCAGAGCAAGAATGTTGGTGTAGTGGAGTAGTTTTTTCTCTACTACTTCAATTTTTCACTCCAAATGTTGTCTATTTCAGACTACTGAATCATGAACATTTGAAACAATTTCAAGAGACTGGAACAGGAAAATTATTTTAAAAATTTAGCTTATTGTTGGTACCCCGTGAAATTCTTGGAATAATCTGAGATTTTCAATTGATATTTGTCAATCTGTGGTCACTATGGCAGGAATTTTAATTGAAAAAAATCCAAATTAAGGCGCAGTTGATAATTATTTCTGTATGAATGGGGTATTAATTTTTTGCGTATGCCATCCCTGGGGAAGATTCAGGGAAATCTAAGGGGATCTACAAGAGATCTGGTAGTCGATTCTCGAATTTGGTAGAAGTGAATGTTCCCCTAAGAGAAGTGCGAGATCACATCGCACGCTCGTTCTCTTGGTGCCAAAGTTGGTATTCTCGAATTTATGGGATTATGAGAGAATGAGAGAAAACTTGTCAAATCATAATGCGTTGTTGCCAACAGCACAATTTTAGAGTTAAAAAGGACGAATGTCATGAGAAAGAAGAAAATCAGTTTGTTTTATTTGTATTTTGGGACGAAACCTCATCATTATTTGTTTATTTATTTACTGAAAATCAAATCATTAATCATTTTAGTAAAAAAGTTTTTTCCGGGCTATAATGCCGTGGTCCATTAGTATTTCTACTTAACGTTTTGTCTACTGCTGTGGTAGACATCTTGAGAGGGGGTGTGGTAGAGGACGAAGTGTTCTCTTCCGTCTTCCTCCGACGACTGGATTCGACGTGGTTGGACCTGCATTGGACCCCTGGATATGAATAACGCAGATCCAACAACGCCGAATCCAGTCGTCGGAGGAACACGGAAGAGAACACTTCGTCCTCTACCACACCGCCTCTGAAGATGTCTACCGCAGTAGTAGACGAAATGTTAGGTAGAAATACTAATGGACCACGGCATTATAGCCCGGAAAAACTTTTACTAGATTTGACTGGCCGTGAAAGCCTTCATTCTTTAATTAATCATTCTATTTTCAATTTTTATTTTGTTTATGTGGAAAATAAATTTGGAAAAATCAAGATGTTCACCTATACATCATACTCAAAAAGAAATGCTCATTGAATTTGTAAGGTAAAATGAGAAACTTCAAAGTGAAAAATTTACCTCCGATTTTACCACAGTTTCTAATGATGAAATTCTAATTGGAGCCCGTATAAAAGGTGACAATAAATCAATTAAATTTCGAGTAAGATGTTTGCTTAATCTAAATAGTTTTATAAATTTATTATCCGTTAAATCAAAAGGATTTTCTCTTCTGTAAAATCTCCTGACAGGCCTTTCTTCTTGCTCTTCTGCATCTAGTAGATCATTCAGTACAAGAATTCTTCCTATAACCCCAGCTTCCATGGTTTCCCACCCCACGTTTTCGTATTGGACCGTATTTTCCACTTCAACACTACCTATATGCAAATGTACCCAATTGGCAATTATTGATAATAAATTATTTGCAAAACAAACAAAAAAATACCATGGATGATGACTGTAGAACTGACAAAAAGCGCATGCTTGACGTTTGGTTCTCCCAAGAACAGACGTTCTCTTCAAAAAAAGTAGTAAAATAAAATTCTCTCAACTTTCATAGGAAGTGAACGGTCCCTAATTTCGAGAATACGTCGTAAGAGATTTTAATAGAACCACGCCTATTTTTCCTATGAGAACAGGGATCACACGATTCGAGAATCGCCGTCCTGAGGGAAATCTTACTGAGAGGGATCGTACACGCATTCAGAATTTAATTTTCTATTGATTGAGAATATTCAAGAGGATATCATGTTACCAGGTTTAACACTGAAATAAAAATAGTATAACTCATATTGTAATGAATGTAGCTTTGATATTGACAGGAATTAGGAAAGTACTAGATCAAGAGAGAATGCACATGCTAAAATCCGTTTTTTTTTTAAAGATAATTCCCCAAGTCAAAAATTTAGTAACTATGTTGGCAACACAAGCCTTTTCTACATACAAAATTTGAAAGCATTGACAATTTTACATTGTATTGCCAACATAATGTCAGTTTGACTTTTATCTTTAAAAAAAAAAACACACTTTATGTTGAGGAGAAGACCCCAAGAGATGTGATCTGACTTTGCACTTCTGCTGGTATTCTATGAAATCCATGAAAAATTAAGGAGATCTAGCGAAATCTTAGGGGTATCTATGCGAGTATCTATGTGGATATCTTTTTCATAAAGATATTTCTTGTAAACTTAAATATTTTGTGATCAACCCCTTGGTCTATTATGTCTATCTGTGTTAATATGTCATTGCTTAAGCCCAACACATTCTGAAATGTTTATTTACTGTAAAAATTTGGTTTGTTACACTTGGAACTCAAATGGGGGTCAACAATTTTTGTACTATTTTTTTTTTATCACAATGGTACCTATTTAAATTAAATTAGAGATGAAAATTAAGTACCTATTTGGGAAAAAAAAAATGTTACTATCAGTATAAACCTACTTGGATCATGCCAATATTGAATTTTCCCAAAAAGCCACTCAGTATTAACAAATTCCATTTTTAGTAAACTTATTTCACACACTACGTATCAAAATAATTAATGAATTAGCACTACTTATAAAATAAACAAATCTCAAAATTTGAAGAAAAAAAATGCTGTTCCATCAGCGAAACGCGGGATGATACTGAGACATGAATCATCTTAAATGGAATAGTAAAAATGTGCTACTACAGAAGTCACTCAACAAAATTCTGGGAAGCCAATGAATGACTCACCAATTGGAATTTCATTCATAAAATTGCAGGAATCGCTTCATTGCTAAAAATGAAGTCAGCTGAGAAGGGGATTAGGATCATAACTTACTGCTGATTCCAAGACTGATTCTATTGAATTGAAAAAAAAAAAAGAACAAAGGGGTTGATTTTGTAATAGCAATATTGTGCCGAAGGGTTTGTTTTTGGTAATCAAATTTTTTTAAATGAAATCTTAAGCAACTTTTTAGTTATTTGGGATGTAAATTTGAATTTAAAAGGCTAAATAGAGAGAACAATGGGCCTGCTCTTACCTGAATCATATTCACTTCCTTGCTCCATGCCGTGATATTCTAAAAAGCAAATAAGAATATGCGTTATAAAAAAATCACTGTAATGATCGAGATGTCCTACTGAAGGGCTAACGATGCAAAATCAAACATTTTTTTTTTTTTTTAATAAAAATTGATCAAAAACATCAATTCGGACATAAGGTTGAAAATACCGTGTTTTGACATTCACTTTGAAGTGGAAAGGCAACCAAACTGACGTTGGCCAAGGTCACTATTTTCGCCTATGACAATAATTCAGATATTGCAGCTTTTCTGCGGCTTTTTTGGCCTAATTCCGGTAATGTTTCAACTTGCAACCAATTAATTTTTAAACTTGCAACCCTGCTCGACCAATCCATATCGGAATTTCATATCAAATTCAAAGAAATTCAGGAAAATTACGATAAATCCTGGGGCCGAGCAATCGAACTTTACGCCATCTTGGTACACTCGACAAGTTTAGAAAGTGGTTTTCGTATCGAAATCGTGGTCATTTCGGCACGAAATTTGGTACACCGATTCATCGAACAGTAAATTTTCGCCGGACAATGGAATTTCGGGCTTAGAATTTACTCACTTTGCGAACTTGAACCTTCATCTCCGCTACCTATATCCGACATCGCAAGCCCTACTCACACACACACACAACACAACCTCCCCGCTCCACTACCGCCTGATGTTTAGAGTTTAGGGGAATTCTGGGAAAATCGAAAATTTACTAGATTATCTGTCAATGTCGTAGACAGGAACGGACTCGGGAAAATTTTCAATTAAGCTATGTTTACATTTTTTGATTTCAATTTAAATATAATTTTGACAGCTGAAAAACTATAAAAAAACTATCGAAAATTGTCGATAATATTACGAAAATCGTTTAAGAATCGATTTCAAAATATCGGGTACATCGAGAGGACATACAGAGTGTACGATTCTGCGCAAAACCTAAAATGTGTGCCTAGAATCGGAAATGCGTATTCCCTCATTCTCACTTGCGCGAAATTCGCGGCACTGAAGATGTCGAGTTGCAGTTTTCACTGAACTGCTTATGGCGATCTCGATTTGATAGCCCTCGGTGCGCTCTTTTGGCGACAGTTTATGTTTAAAGCATTGTTTATCTGTCAAATTACCGTTCACAATAACTCTTTTCATTTGGCTCCGGTTTAACAAACCGCAACATACCGCTCAAATTCGAGTGGTAGGTATCCATCACGTCACTGTGTAACCGGGTTAGAAAACGGTATGTCATTTCTCTAACCGTTTTGTAACCCGGTTAGTTAAACCGGAGCCACGTGAAAAGAACTAATCCGACAATTCTTTAGTTTTCCATTTTAGTTTTCTCACGCTATTTGATTAGAAAAATCGAGCGATAAATGGAATGGCAACCGCTCGACAACTCTACTTCAAACAGCGCGTTATAGTAGAAATCAATGACGTAGAAATAGAACCCATCTCGTCCATTGACCTTTTGTTTGGACGCCATATTGCGGTGCGCGAACATAGTTGCCAAAAGAAGAAAACAAAAATTACTAGCGGGCTGTCAACATTAAAAACAAAAGTTACTAAATGATGATATGTTTTTAATGTTGACAGTACGCTAGTAATTTTTTTTTTTCTACTTTTGGCAACTATGTTCGCGCACCGCAATATGGCGTCCAAACAAAAGGTCAATTGACCTTTTGTTTGGACGCCAATTGCGGTGCGCGAACATAGTTGCCAAAAGAAGAAAACAAAAATTACTAGTGGGCTGTCAACATTAAAAACAAAAGTAACTAAATGATTGATCCTCGCTATACTTTTTGTTTGTTTACTTTCTCTCTCTGATTGATGAAAGTAAATAGGTAGATATTCTATTATTTCTATTCTGCCCAATACAAGCTAAAATTGGATTTTGTTTTCAAAAACATTCGTAATAGGCGGCAAATTCAAATTTAAAATCTAATTTATTCAGTAACTTTTGTTTTTAATGTTGACAGTACGCTAGTCATTTTTTTTTCTACTTTTGGCAACTATGTTCGCGCACCGCAATATGGCGTCCAAACAAAAGGTCAATTGATTTTATACAAAAGCCCCCACCATGCCAAATCACCAGTAATGACCGACTGGTTAATTGCCTTTAATCGATGTTGGTTTTACAACATCAATTAACATATAAAATAACTCTTTTTTAGATTTTAGATCTCGTTTGCATCTTTCATATTCCTCTTTGCCTATTATGTTAATTAAAATTAAATCATATTTTCATCATAAATTTAAATTCTAAACTACGTCCGCTGGCGCAAAAAGCTGACGACTTAGTGACGTCGGCAATGGTGCTACACTATTGACCTTATGACCGCGACTACAAAAAAACGAGGCCGATAAGCAATCCTGTATTGTCCGTCGATTTTTAACTGATACTTGCGGTATGAGGAGCGAGGGGGTGTTTCATATGGCAAAAACAGGTGTAACGTCAGGAAACCATTGGCTCACATTCCGTCCGAGTATCAGATTAAAATCGACGAACAATAGTAGTGTGTATTATATTTGTGCGTTACGTAGCCTTTTCAATCACGATATAAATAGAGTTCGGTTATTCTTCCTTGAACAAAAACATGACAACCCCATGTGATCGGTTTCGTAACTTCAAATGAAAGATCATGTGAGCTTCTGTCAACAATGTCATATTCTAGCATTAACCGAACTCGCCTATAGTAAGAGTTCTCTCAGTTTCAGTTCATAGGACGGCGGCCAAACGCGGAAAAGCCTTTGTTTTAAGGAGCAACCCGGTATTGAGGTATAATTTATTAAGACTAGTACCAGATGATTCAGCATATTTTTCTGCATATAAAATGAAAATGGACGACTTTTTGGATTGGTCGAGAGCTAAGTTAGGAGCAAAAAACTAAAAATATACGGAAACTAAAATTTCCAACTTTAACCTCGTATAACTTCTAAACCGCTTGAGGTAATAAAATGATTTTTGCTCTAGATTCTAGACAAATATATTCTCTTTAATATGGTGTATATATTGATCGAAAAATATTGAAGTAGAGCTCAAAAAATCAGTTAATTCGTAGGCGCGGCGCGAATGAGTAAAATATATGTTTGCTTTAACCTGCGATAACTCCTTTATATATTGGAATATTAACCTAATTTTTTGCTCAAAAACTGGCAAATTTAATTGGCTTTCTTTGTTCTCAACCGACCTAATTTCAATAATAAACTAACTAGAGCCGTTTAAACACAACAAAGCGCGGTCTGGCGGCAGAAGTTGTGTGGCTCCCTTCTCATTCCCGCTACCCGCTGACAACCACTGGCATGAATTGACCTTTTGTTTCGACGCCATATTGCGGTGCGCGAACATAGTTGCCAACAGTAAAAAAAAATTACTAGCGTTCTGAGGTGCTTTCCAGTGACGCACTCGAGTTACTCCTGAGCAGCTCAGGAGTACACCGCATTTACTGGCGCCGTTCCAGTGCTTGGAGTGTCATGCACTTGAACTACTCATTTCTGTTATCCCCTGCCCTCTCGTGCACCTACCATTGTTTGGGTGTTTCATGCTCCGAAATGGCGCGGGATAGGAAAATTCAGGTTATTTTCATTCGGTTTCTTCGAGAGTGTTCCAGTGCTGCTTATGACCAACAGTTCAAGAGCTTCACACTTCAGGAGCATGATACTCTTATAATTCGTGCACTGGAAAGCAGCTCTGTCAACGTAAAAATTCAAAGTTAGTGAATAAATTACATTTAAAATTTAAATTTTCCGCCTTTTACGAATGTTTTTGGAAAGAAGAGCCATCAATTTTAGCTTGTATTGGGCAGAATAAAAATAATAAAATATCTAGTTGACAGCTCGCTGGAAATTTTTGGTTTTCTTGTTTTGGCAACTATGTTCGCGCACCGCAATATGGCGTCGAAACAAAAGGTCAATTAAAAAACTACGTACGATGCCGTAGACTGCATGCAATGATATGACAGCCAATTTTCCTTGTTTATGGAACTTTGTGTTCTATTTTAAAAACTCTAGTTTATCGGGTTCTGCTTGCATCAGAAGTTATTGCACAGGTAAGATGACATTATCAGTAACTAGTAACACAAAAAGTTAACTGGAGCATCTACCACTTGTCCAATTAATTGTTACCTATATTTTACAGATTTCACTTTTACGCTTCACGTAAATTTTTTCATTTTGTAGACGGACTAACATTGACGTCATGGATAATTGTGTTTTATGTTGCAAAACATTTTCGACGGAATCACCTTGTGGTCCTTGTGTTAGAAATCCAACAAAACGGAGCTACGCAACAATTTTTTCGGCAGCAGGGTATTACTCCCTGTACCTTTACTAATAGATATTAAGTTTTTATTTTTATTGGTGCCACTTTTACCACAAATCAAGCAGTCAGCTTCTATATTAAACTTCTCCTTACCACTACGACCGCTACTTCATGGAAATACTTTGATTACCTATGTTTGGGTTATTTTATTTCACTACTTTATCAATATTATTTTTGCTGCAAAAAGATCTTCTGCAACTTATATGATATCTGACTATTTAGGGAATTTTTTCCAATTTTAATTGAGAAACGGTTAGATGTATTTCAAAAATTTTCAAAAGGTATTGAGAATAGTAAAATGTTATTCAGAATGCGTTAATTATGATTGACAATAGTCATATGTAATCGAGAAACCGTCAAATGTAATTGAGAAAACGTTAAATGTAATTGTGAATGCGTTAATTGTATTTCAGAAAACATCAAATGAAATTCAGAATAGGTCAAAAGAAATTAAGATCATGCAAAATTCGAAACTGTGGAAAATAATTAAGCAATCCATATCCGATATCCCATAAATTTTCACGAATTTGTGGCACCTCGTAGGTATATAAAATTTTCGAGTCTTCATGATCTCAACTTTATTTTACCTATTCTGAATGTTATTTGATGCTTTCTGAATTACATTTCACGTTTTTTTAATTAGATTTGCCCCCTTGAATAGAATTAACGCATTCTCAATTACATTTGACTATTCTCAATTACTTTTGACGATTTCTGAAATACATCTAACCGTTTCTCAATTAAAATTGGAAAAAAATCCCTAAATATACGAACATCATAATATAAGTTGCAGAAGATCTTTTTGCAGCAAAAATAATATTGACAAAGTAGTGAAATTAAATAACTAACCCAAATATAATGAAAGTATTTCCATGAAGCAGCGGTCGTAGTAGTAAGGAGAAGTTTAATATAAAAGCTGACTGCTTAATTTGTGGTAAAAGCGGCACCAATAAAAAGAAACACCTAATATCTATTAGTACAGGTACAGGGAGTAGTACCCTGCTGCAGAAAAAATTGTCGCGTAGCTCTGTTTTGTTGGCTTTCTAACACAAGGTGATTCCGCCGAAAATGTTTTGCAAAATAAAACACAATTATCCATTGTTTCAATGTTAGTCCGTCTACAAAATTAAAAAATTCACGTGAAGCGTAAAAGAGAGATCTGTCAAATATAACAATTAATATAACTTTTTCTGTTACTAGTTACTGATAATATTATCTTACCATTCTTACCTGTGCAATAACTCCTGATGCAAGCAGAACCAGGTAAACTAGACTTTTTAAAATACAAAGTTCCACAAACAAGCAAAATTGACTGTCATATCATTGCATGCAGTCTACGGCATCAAACGTAGTTTTTTAATTCATGCCTGTGGTTGTCAGCGGACAGCGGGAATGAGAGGGGAGCCACACAACACACAACTTCTGCCGCCAGACCGCGCTTTGTTGTGTTTAAACGGCTCTAGTTAGTTTATTATTGAAATTAGGTCGATATATAATTGAGACGAAAGAAAGCCAATTAAATTTTTCAGTTTTTGAGCAAAAAATTAGGTTAATACTCCAATATATAAAAGAGTTATTGCAGGTTAAAGCAAACATTTATTTTACTCATTCGCGCCGTGCCTACGAAATAACTGATTTATTGAGCTCTACTTAGATATTTTTCTAACAATATATACACCATATCAAAGAGAATATATTTGTCTAGAATCTAGAGCAAAAATCATTTTATTATCTCAAGCGGTTTAGAAGTTATACGAGGTTAAATTTGCTTCTAATTAGCTCTCAACCAATGAAAAAAGTCGTCCATTTCGATTTTCTATCAAGAAAAATATGCTGAATCATGTGGTACTAGTCTCAATAAATTATACCTCAATCCGGGTTTTTGAACGCAAACGCTTCTCCGCTGACGGCCTATCAGTGCTTCTTTCAATCTGAGGGAACACCTCTTTACACTCATTTGAAAACTTATGCTCCTTCCTCTTTTGGAAATTTATAATTTGTTGTTATAATTTTTCAACTTTGATTTATCAAAGTTCAAAGTGTACGAAACGTAAGGAAAACCACTGGTAAGTAAAATCATTATGCCTCAATTCGATATTGATATCAACATTTAACATTTTCATAACATAACTTTTAGACGCCATCTGGAATGCCTAAGCATAATGCAAGTCTCCATTAGATCCTCTGTTTACCATTATTAGACAACCTATTAACTATAGGAACCTTGCGCACTACCGACTGAATTAGGATGAGGTTGTTGAGTAACGTCACTCATACTCATGGATGACACACTACTAGGATTGCTTATCGGCCTTGTTTTTGGTAATTGCGGCCATATTTGTGTATTACCATTGCCAACGTCATTAACTAAGTCGTCAGCTGTTTGCGCCAGCGGTCCTAGTTAAGAATTTAACATAATAGGCAAAGAGGAAGATGCAAACGAGATCTAAATAAGAGTTGTTTTGGAATGTTAATTAATGTAGTAAAACGAAGAATGCATAAAGCAAAACCCATGGAATCATAAGCTGTGGCAGTGGCGTAGCCAGGATTTTGTGTTGGGGGGGGCAAATTTGCAGGAAGCGTCTCTTGCGGCCCTACCGCGACCACTGCCGGAGGCAAAGCGCCGCAGGCGCGAAATTTTTGGGTGCCACGCCCCTTTTTCAGGTTTCTCTACGCTATTTTTGGGACTGTTTATCTTAATATTGAAGAAATATTCATAAAATTTAAGGGTCTTGGGGGGGGCAAATGCCCCCTTGCCCCCCCCCTGGCTACGCCAGTGAGCTGTGGTGCAAATAGCCTACGTTAAGGCGAGAAACGACATGCTTTCTACGTCACAACTGGTGATTTTGCGTGGTGGGGGCTTCAGATTTGTTCTACACAGGGGCTTTATTCTGTAAGAACGAACCGTTCGATTCGGTAGAATTTCTTCGATTGTGACGTCATTTTTGGTTTAGTTTTCACGCTACCAAACAGAAAATGACGTCACAATCGAAGAAATTCTACCGAATCGAACGGTTCGTTCCTTACAGAATGAGGCCCCAGGCCTTATAGGCTATCCTGTAGTAGTAGTGTGTATTATCTTATTGGACTCATACGTACCTTTTGGTTAACGGGTAACTACCTCAACGGGTAACAACTAAATTCGCTCACCAAAGCAGGTAAAAAACTTAGGGCGAAGTCAAATTCGCTTGCGTCGTTTAAAGTTGACGTCACACAACAACGGTACATCATTGGTTTAGTTCTGACGTCACAAGGTACGAATATCCAGGCAAGGAAAAAATTTTTGATCCAGATGTTCATGTTTGTTTTGGCGAAGCAATTATGGATAATGTAAAACACAATAGCTTGGTTCAAACACACCAGAAAACCGTACAATGTACGGCCACGTTTCTGCGCAAAGCCAAAAGTTTGTGCTTAGAAACCGAAATTCGTATACAGAGTGATTTCGAAACCGTTCATGGGATAGTTTTTGACGTGTTGGAACAAACCTACTGTATGTCCTGCAAATGGCATCTTGCGACCACGCGGCATTATTTATGTTTCCAAGTTGAAAATGTCATAATCTATCTTGGCAAAAAATACAGTTTAGCCTAGATTTTTCAAAGTTGAGTCGGCATTTGTTGTTCTCTATTCCAATTCCAATCTCAATGATTCCAATACATCTACCAATATACCAATGATGTTTATAGGCGAGGCGACAGTGTAACATTTCTCCATTATGATTTCTGAGATGATTCCATTTGAAGCATCTTTTTTACGGTTGAGGTTTCTAAATGCATTTCGCCATCTGAAGTATCGTCAACTAAATGAGAAAGGGCTATGACGTAAATTTAAGGTGCATGGTTGAACCAATGAGGTTGAACAGGCTCAAAATGGCCCCAAAAGCTATAAGTTGGTTAAGGAGAATACACACTCTAAGGCTAAGGAGTGCTTATCGGCCTCGTTTTTGGTAATCGCCGCCATATTGGTTTTCAACCATTGCTGACGTCATAACTAAGTGGTCAGCTGTTTAAACAGCCTACGTCAAGGCGAGAAACGCCATGCTGCTTACGTCACATCTGGTTGTTTGGCATGGTGGGGTAGGGAGGTACTTGTTACACATAGGCCTTATGAGAATAGGCCATCCTGTAGTAGTAGTGTGCATCATCCTTGTAAGTTGGCAACACGGGTTGACTTGCGCAGATACAACTTAAAATAAGGGCGAAGACGAGCGTAAACATGATTTTGAAGGAATACACTCGAGAATACATGAGAATACAAAGGAATACATGGGGCATACATTACATGAAATTCCATGAGGCTTATTCAACACTGGAATACATTTGGCGGTTTACCCTTACCCCTCGATACGCACGCACCAAGGCTAAATTTATTTCACATGGTGCATTACAACCAGATTACAGCTATATAAACTATCTTTAATGCCAGAAATTACCAGAAAAATTTAACATGTCAATCACAAAATTATCAATAGTAATATAACTAGTGCAATGGAAATTATTGATAATTTTTGGGAAATTTGCTCGAATGCATTTTTAGTTGAAAAAGAGCACGAGTGCACGTAGTGCACGAGTGCCTTTTTCAGTTAAAAACGCATGAGTGCAAATTTGTCGAAAATTATAAATATATTTCCATTGCACGAGTTGTATTTAATGAGAGAATTTCATAAATCAAAAATTTAAATTTTTTGTCAAAAAATGTCAAAACACCAGTTTTCGCACCAGTTACTATGCAATTATCTGATAATTTGCACTAGTGCAAATTATCGCGTAATTACAATCTGATTGGTTCAAATCAACAATCAAAACATGTCAATTTATTGTTGGAATACCAGTTTTGACAGATGTATGAAATTCTCAATTACAATTAAACATGTCAAAAATACATAAAATTAAACATTCGCATTGGTGGATAAAATTTTATTTTTGTTTTTAAATAATAATCAACAATGACTGTTTCTATTACATAAAATAAAACCGGATAAAAATTATAAATCGCTGGAACTTGCAATCATAATTTTTCCCCCCTATATTGACAAATGGATCTAATAATAAACCTAAAAATACGTCATTAAAAATTATGTCATTTTCATCATCGAAATTATGCGAACGTGTGACACGGGCTTTTTTTTGACGGACGCACGCGCAGTGTCTTGTGTCTATCAGCCGAGGTCCGACGTCGCAAGGGGAACAAAGATGGCTATGGATCTATCGGCCATTTTCTAAAGTGAGACAGAATAAAGTGTTTTTTGCGAATTTTGCGGTTTTTTCGTGATAATTCGGCGATTTCCTTATTGGAACAGGTAAGAAACACTTTGAAGATACTTATTGAAGGGTTTTTAGCGGTCCTTAAGTGAAAATTCGGCCGAAAATGGCCCGGTAAATGTCGGCGTCTTTCTTAAAGAGACAGAGTGAAGGTAAATGGTTTTCTTTGTTACTTCTATACTCTTATTTCATTTTATCACTTCGTCTTTGTTGTGTAAAAAGAGATGAATTTGGAGGACGGATAGATGGTCTTTTGAAATTAATTGTTGCTTTTTCTTTTAATTGTGGCTCGATTGTAATAGGCGATAATTAATTTCAAATGAATTCTAATTGAACACCACGCCCTTGGTGTTAAATTTCACCAGTGACGAAGCCATATTCCATATGGTATTTAAAAATATACTTTTTTCAATTTAGGTTTTGAATATTTTTGGACTCCTCAACCATTTTTTCAGTATAGGTTTTAATTAATTCTTAATGGATTTAGGATATTAAAAAGCACGATGCTTTCCAGTAAACGAAAAATTGAGAAATATAGAGAAAAAAATTCATGAAAAATTGAAGAGAACATTCATATTTTTTCTATCTCGGGCTCTTGATTTCTTTTTTATTTCAACAAATTCAAAAAATGAGAATTATAGCGACAAGAAAATCGGAATTTAGTGAAAATTGGTAGACAAGTAGGTACTCCATTGATACAAAATAAAACTATAGATCAAGGTAGGGCTCATGGATACGATATATCGATATGTACATCGGTTATTATTATTATGACTATAAAATCGATTATTGTTGTTTAATCTTTGGAGTGCTATTAGGTCTGTTTCTGCAGAAATCACAAATCAGTCAGAGCGAATTTTATTGGTTGAAAACAGTCAGAAAACTAGTTTCAACCAATGAAATTCACTCAGACTGGTTTGTGATTTCTGCAGAAACAGACCTATACACCTATAGTTGAATCAAATCCAAACGGCAATAATGTAATGACATTAACACCAGCTGGTAATCCAGACTTCCTAGTTCCTATTAGTTGAAACGACCTACCAGGGACCAGTGCGCATGCACGGTGGACATTTGAATCATTTGATAGGATAGGTTGTAATGAAAATGACCAGTTAATGTCATTACTGCCGCTTGGATTTGATTCAACTATAGTTCTTCATTCGTAAAAGTACCTACTGGTGTATAAAAAAAATAACTCTATTGATTTTTCAACACCTTGACCTTGATATAAGATTTTTACCCTATATTTAGGATGACGTCACATTTAGTAAATTTTTGCTGCCAACTTAACAAAACTAAAAGTATTTTTCACCGCATTTGAAGTAGGAGAATTTCAGATGTTTTTGGTTGGCAACAGCGCTCGACGTTGCATGATTTATATAAACATTTTCAAATAACGCGTGTCAAATGTCGATATTAGAGAGATATCGGTAACCCAAATAATGTCATGCAGTATTAGCGCCTACGTTATTTTGACATTAAACCTATGCGCGATTCGATTTTTAACACTACGTACCAAAATAACGTTACCGCATAACGTAATTTACCCAGCATTTACGTTAAGCGCTATTTCGAATAACGCCTAGAAATAACGCAGTGGAATAATATAGGTTATGTTAAGTTTATTGTTTTTGTTTATCTTATTATTTTTATTGTGTTCAAGTGAATATGGATTGTTCAAAAAATAGTAAAAAAGCAAATCCTCTGTCCCTGACCATAAATAACAGACAACACAAATCAAATCACAGCAAGGTACAAGTTAGGCTTCGGTTGTAAAATAACGGATGCGAACAGGCAAATTTTACGTTAAACTGTTTTCCGATAACTCTAATTTGAAAGTACGATACCGCTTTACTTTAAAAAAATAACTCTTGACGTTATTACCGTCCATGCGCGCTATCTGATTCACCGATATCTCTCTATTGGTGACGATTTCGTTTTAGCTGACGTCGGCGGTCTCGATAATTTATTATGACTTTCTGGTAAATGATAAGAAAAAAAATAGGCATTGACAACTGGTCGGGTTCATCAGGGCTGCGTTCAGGAATGGCTACAGGCTACAGCCAAGCCAAAATTGGCATTTTGCGTTCGAGTTCGGCTCCAACCTACGTGGTTTGGCATTACCGGTGGAGGGGGAAAAGTAGGTTTTGGCATTAGCTTTGCCATCCTTGAACGCACTCCAGGACGTAGCGCTACAATAGCGATCATCAGCAGTGTTGCCAAATTATTACAATTGTAGCAAATTTTATCCCTGTTCTTCTCACCAAAAGGAAAAAAATATGGAAAATGGTCCGAGCCGAGCGCTCAGTGTTTCAAGCGGAACTCATTAATTTTAATAATTTTTGGTTAAATAAGTGAAAATATATAGATTTATTGGAAATGTAATAATGTAAATAATAGGGCAATCCAAACAAAATGGCGGCCAATGCCAAAAAATTGGCGCCATGGATTTAATTCAAACAACCGTGAGATTTTTCATCAAAAAACTGTTTTTTTGTGGTGTTTTTAGATGATTTTCTAGCGCTTGGAAGGATAATTTTCGTATTTTAAGATGGAGAGTTTTTAGTTTGAGAAATTATTAGTGGAAAACCCGGATGTTAACAAAAGTTATGATTTCTTTTTGACAAACCTTTACCTACTAAACAATTAGGTAAGTACTATCCAGGATTTGTTTCCTGTTTAGTTTTTTCTTAACAAAATCCTGAATCCTGATGTATATTTTATTTTATTGGTTTGCTATTCAAGGTATCGACACAAGTTGTGGAGGATACCTAGTACATGGCTTGGATCCATACACCGTTTATGTAGAGAGACTTTTTGGTTTTTAAATATGGATTTCATTAGTTTTTTCTTTTTTGCTACAATCCATGAAGCCCTTACAAAGTAGGTACAGACAAATCATATTTCTCCGTTAAAAACCTGTGTTTTGTCTCTGCAGGAACGGCATGAAACGAGACTTTCTCGCGATTAGAACGGCTTTCACAACTAAGTACTATAGGTACATAAAGTATGCATTTTCCAAAAAATTAACACCTTACAGACTTTATACAAATCAAAAATCGCAATAGAACGGCATTTTTTAAAAATAAAAAGGCATTGACCTGCATTTTGAATTTGTTTTTGACAGGTCGTTGGATTGCCCTATTAACCTTTGATAAATGTAATAGATTTGCTACATTTGTAATAAACTGGCAACATTGTTGATGATCGCTACTGTAGCGCTACGTCCTGATGAACCTGACCGTCTGTCCTTGTTCTATGACGTCATTCTAAATGTAACATAAAAAACCTATAGAATGATATTGGCCAACTTGGGTTTTAAGGCGAAATACTTACTTTCTTCTATAGTTAAATTCAAAGTTCAAAAAAATAGAAGAAAACATCGGAAAAAAATTGTGAAAAAATATCGATGTTCGCTAATAATATGGAATAAAATAACATCGATATAAACATTGAAATAGAAAAATCGATCTTTTTGAAACATCGATACATCGTGCGCATCCTTAGTTTGATATTTTTTGATGCAAGCTTAGAGGCCTTTTCAGAAACACTGATTCGATTAATCAGGTTCCTTCCAACCCACCGTTTTTATATCGTCATGAAACGGTTTCGGAACTGTTAGGATCGATTGCAGGCGCATGCGTTGACCTTGCACGGTTTTATCTTGGTACAGAAACAACGGGTAGTTGGAACGGTTTCATGACCGTTTTCGTAATGTCGTTCGACGGTTCAAATAACTTTAACCCTAAATTTGTTTGTTTGCAAATTAAAATAGAGGAATATACGATTACAAAATAATATAAAAAAGGAAAATCGAACACCAACGCTGATGCATTATCAAGAATCTGAAACTGAATCCTTCCAGGCTGATAATACCAAGGACCAGCAAATAGCTGATAATAAATTTTGTACTTTTTTTTACTTGAAAAAATAAAAATACTACAGTTTTATAGGTTAGATTAGAAATTGGTTGTTTAACAGCAACATGAACAACAACAACAGGTGACAACAATTGAATTACGCATGTCAGTCATGGATCAGTCCATGCGGTTCTTGCTTTCCACTCGGGATCGAATTGACCGTGCTGAAACCAGTTCTCGAACGATCCCAGGTTTGGTTGGAACGCCAACGAAACTGTACAGTAAACGATCGTCTCTCGGTTGGAACGCGTTTCACCTATGGCGCATGACCGTGACCGTACATTGAACGGTTTTTGGCTGGGTTGGAACGAACCTATCGTATCACCAGCTGATGTTATTTATCTTTTTTGAATTGTGTTCATTGAAAAAAGATAAAACATAAACAGCTGATGATCGGGTTATTCGGATCAGCGTTTCCGAAAAGGCCTTTTGTTTCACCAGGGTTCATACTTTTTGCCTTCCTTTTTTAATAAATGGAAAATGACTGAAACAAATCAATAACGTCAATGAATTAATCTATTGTTCGTCGATTTTTAACTGACACTTTCCGTATGAGGAGCGAGGGGGTGTTTCATATGGCAAAAACAGGTGTGACGTCAGGTAACCATTAGAGTTCTAATGTAGCGAGCTACCAGTTCACATTCCGTCCGAGTATCAGAAAAATCGACGGACAATACGACAACCCTTTTTTCTCAAGTTATGACGCGTTCTATCTCAAAAGTATGAACCCTGGTGAAACGATCTGTCTCCATGTAGTCTGACATTGGTCGCGTTCACCAGCACCAGCACTCAAAATTTTGAGTGATTAGTCAGCGGGTAGGCCAATCAAAACTGTTCTACCTTATATATTCTACAATTTCCACTTGTTGGATCAAAGCCGCCTACGAATCACTCAACATGTTGTGTCCTGGTGAACGCGACCATTATATTTCATAAGAAATATTCCAAGAGCAGATGTGGACATTCGAAAAGGGGCTTCTATTTCTGAATCCGGGTAGTGTTTAAAAAAAATCGGGAATATCGTATCGAAAAAAAAACCAATATTTTCTGATAGTATTTCCAAGCAGCACTCCAATGTTGGGCCAATATTGGGACAATAACTACGATTTATTGGC